GGTAAAAACAATCACAATGGCGGCTGTTTTATGGCCGCTAATTAAGCAAATCTGCGCCGAATATAAAACTGAAATTACGGAATTATTTATTTATTTATCTGACTCTCGGCGTTTTACTGCCAAGACTTTATTAACCGGTGGCAGAAATTTTAATACATTTATTTGATTGGTATGTGGGTTGTAATATGAACATATTTTTGGATTAATTTTTGTTGAGTTTTATCGAAGTGATTTAGGATTGGTTTTTTGGAAAACATGTTGTCTGTTTTATAGCGTAGCACCCTGATAAATATATAAAAGACGGATACTTAAGGATTAGAAAAGAACAAAGGGCAATTTCATTATGGTTAAAGACCTGTTTCATGTAAGTCCTGAAGACATTATGGCTGTAACGTAAATATTGATGTGTAGGGGATGATGGTTGCAGCATATGCGTTAACTAGTATGTGATTAAGACAGAATCGTGGGATTATTTGTAAGAGATTAAGGCTACAATTCATCGAATAATGTGGCTTAAATAAGCAGCCCAACATAGATCTACATGTGGCTTACAGAAAGTGCCCAACATAGATCTTTATGTGGCTTACAGAAAGTGCCCAACATAGATCTATATGTGACATACAGAAAGTGCCCAACATAGATCTATATGTGGCTTACAGAAAGTGCCCAACATAGATCTATATGTGGCTTACAGAAAGTGCCCAACAGATCTATATGTGACATACAGAAAGTGCCCAAAATAGATCTAAACGTGGCTTACAGAAGCTGCCCAACATAGATCTATATGTGGCTTACAGAAAGTGCCCAAAATAGATCTAAATGTGGCTTACAGAAGCTGCCCAACATAGATCTATATGTGGCTTACAGAAAGTGCCCAACATATATCTATATGTGGCTTACAGAAGCTGTCCAACATAGATCTATATGTGACGTACAGAAAGTGCCCAACATATATCTATATGTGGCTTACAGAAGCTGCCCAACATAGATCTATATGTGTCTATATGTGACAGCCAGCACTTGCACCCAAAGTGTCAGGACCTAGTTGTTCCGACAACAGGCCTTCGCCAGAGAAGTAGCTTGAATGTCAGAACGAGGGCTGACCCTGGACGGGGTCTTGAATACCATGACACGGGGTGATTCGATGCAAGCTTGACACGAGCGCTGAATTCAGTCACATGAAGAATGAATTCTTTCACCCCCCCCCCCACCCTCTCTTGTCGCCATCACCTCCTTCCCTCCCCCACACCTCTTACATGAAGACGCAACGTAATCCTCCCAGCATGCCTTCAATTTGACCCCAACTATGTTTTGATAACCTTCACTATGAGTCAAATGATAACTTCTTTTTGTTACATGAAATTTGAGTTTTAAAAATAGACTACAATACACCCCCTTCCTATCTCTTCCCTCCCCGAGAAACCCCGTGTCTACCACACCATGAGACAAACCAGTGCGGAACAATTAGTGCTATAATGAACGCGTTTTGCACCGGAGTTTGTAAAGCCGTACAGAATTTGATTTTTGCGTCTCTTGTGTTGGCGGAGTCGGCGCGGTGTAAACCTGACATGCGGGGCTATACAAATGGCAACAGTCAAGTCAATGACAGAAAAAATACGCGCCTGTCTACGTGGTGAGTCTAGATTGGTGTTGACAGGTTTAAAGTGTAGTCTTGACTTGACACTCGGACTGGAGAGATAAGACACAGAGGTTTTTTAAAACTGCGTTACTTAATGGCGATACGCCATTTTGATTTCAACTTTTAATAATTTTTAGACGCTCCCTTGCAAAACTAGCTCTATCGATTTAATAATAATAAAATAAAGACATTATATTAATTATCACGATAGCCAATCATAAAATTTCAAGACATTGGCTTCTTTTAACGAAGTCAACAATTCCATATTTTAAAACAAAATTGTTGTAAAATTCTCTAGATTAAGAATCCTCAGTTATACGCCTAGAGGCAACAACTCGTTTATATAAAAAGTTTATTGACTAACCTGCATCTATCAATGATGTAGCACACTTTTTGCCAAAAATCATCACAGAAAGACTAAAATCTTTTAATAATGCCGTCAACATCTAGATCTATTCTAAAAATAATACTTGTAATGCCAGTTAACAGAATACTAAAAACACAATTTGGATCTAGAGAGTTTAACAAAATATAACAAAATATGGGATATAAAGTTATTTTAAACCGAAATGTAGACACAGGTGCAATATATATATATATATATATATTGTAAAAAAAATGTATTAGGAAAGTTGTGAGGTTTTCTAAAACCAAGTAAACATTTAATTTGTGGTATTTGCTTGCTATTTTTATACAGCGTAAGGGGATACTACAAGTGTATAAATATTCTCTTGTAAGATAATCCCTAGTCCTAGTATTTTTAATGTAATTTAAAGACCCCATCACAGCGATCGCTAACCAGGCAATGGAGGTTTTCTTCGCTGCACAGCTAGAATGTGAGGCAAGGGAAATAACCGATAAATAAATTTAACCCGTTTTTTTTTTCAGTTGACTATTTTCTTTGTGTAATTACGTTTTGGATATATACACAATCTATACCAGATATGTAAATAGTATGCAAGTCAATATTTAAATTTATTGGACTAAAGTTGTTTTGAAAAATATTTATTAACGAAAAGCTTGCGATGTGTGTAGTTGAGCGAGTATGTGCGTGGTTTAGATGTGTTTTGATTCTTTAGAGCAGGGGTCTCCAAACTTTTCAGTCCGAGGGCCGCATTAACTATCAAATTTCAGTTCGGGGGCCAGTTTCTTCCAGGCATGTCTACGATTTTTCAGAGCAAACTTCCTCAGCCATCACCAACAAACAATTTTTCCTTGGAGAAAAAGATCTACGCGGGCCGGATGAGAGGACTTCGCGGGCCGCATCCGGCCCGCGGGCCGTAGTTTGGAGACCCCTGCTTTAGAGTGTAAAGTGGTTTGTTTTATAGATTAGGTTAGGCATAGGGTATGGTAGGTTTGGTTTGTATTTATTTCGACATAACAAGACATAATTGATGCAAGGACCTAAATAGTATTTTATGGCTGGTAAGGAAATATTGTATTGAATTTGTACTGCTAGCGTTGGTCGTGGCCTGTTAGGGTTGGCTATTGACTTCTAAGGTTGGCTAGGATCATTACGGGTTGGCTTGGGTCAGTAAGGGTTGGCTTGGGTCAGTAAGGGTTGGCTTGGGTCAGTAAGGGTTGGCTTGGGTCAGTAAGGGTTGGCTTGGGTCAGTAAAGGTTGGCTTGGGTCAGTAAGGGTTGGCTTGGGTCAGTAAGGGTTGGTTTGGGTCAGTAAGGGTTGGCTTGGGTCAGTAAGGGTTGGTTTGGGTCAGTAAAGTTTGGCTTGTGTTCAGTAAAGGTTGGCTTGGGTCAGTAAAGGTTGGCTTGGGTCAGTAAGGGTTGGCTGGGGTTAGTAAGGGTTGAATAGATGTTGTTAGGGTTATTTGCGATTGGTCATGATTTGTTAGATATTTATAAAGTATGTTAGAGTTTATTGTTGGTACAATCTCCTATAATCTGATAGGCATAAACAAATGAACATCGTCTGGTGTTTTTACCTGTTCGTTCCTTGTGGAGCATAGGGCCTCTGTCAAAGCTTTCAACTCTCTACCCTCTACTGCCATTCTGTTTAGCTGTTTTTCCTAACCTCTTGGTCGCCTCTAGCACGCTACGTCGCCATGTCTTCATGGGTTGTCTCCTGCATAAACACATTCACAGGCACAGACCTACACCCACATTCATACTCACACCCAAACCCATATCCATATCCATACCCATACTCATATCACTACCCATACTCACACCCAAACCCATATCCATACCCATACTCATATCACTACCCATACTCACACCCAAACCCATATCCATATCCATACCCATACTCATATCACTACCCATACTCACACCCAAACCCATATCTATATCCATACCCATTCCCATACCGACACTCACGCCCACACCCACATCCACACCCACATCCACACCCACACCCACCCGTTCTAGTTCCCACGCCGCCGCATACGCCCATTCTGTCGGTGTCTATGTGTAGAAGCTGTGTTGTTGTAGATCTGTTGTTAAAGATGGTGTTGTTTATTAAGTTGTTTTTGTGTTGACTTTACACACTGTTGTTCTTGTTAACTGTTTGAAGTCCGTTTTCCATTTTGAAACGACTCAACACACTGTATTATATTGCTGTATATTTTGTTTTGCTTTCTTTTAGCTTTTGAATTCATTTACGTTTTTTTTGTTAGTTATATGCTTTTATGTCAAAGTGATAAGATTAAAAAAGAATTTTTTTTACTGTATTACTGATTTGTTTCTTTTTTATGAGATTCTTGATTCTTGATGTTATTTTTTTTTCAAAATTTAGGTTTTACTTTATTTTGAGGGTATTATTCATTAGGTTGGTTATGTCTTATAGTTGTTGTTGGTTTCTGTTGACTAATCTCTACCAGTTTTCTTCTATTTCTATTCGTCATTGAAGTTCAATTTAATATAGATATATAAACTGTTTAAAATCAGTGTATAAAAAGCAAAGAATTAAAAATGTGATCAAAGCTTATTTTAAATTTAGGAGTTAAAACAAATGAATTATTTTGTTTGAATATTATTAATAAGATAATTCTTGTGTGTCAAATATGTACACAATCTTATTACTTATTTCCCATTTTAGCTGTTCTATATTTTTTCTAAGGGAGACAATTGCATTTATTTAATAAGATCTTTTAAATAAAATGAATAAATATTGAAACTCTTTAGATTTGTTTTTTTTGTTGTAGATTATTTATTGGTTTTTTTTTTTAAATTTCATTGTTGAATCAATGAATTTTTTATTTTAGTTTGTAAATTTGTTATTAAAATAAAGTCTTTATCTAAACACTTTTGTCTTATTGCCTGTTGAAATGTTTAGATTTTAATATAATTCTTTAAAACCCTCCTCCAACACCGCAGTAATGATATCCTACAATCACATAAAAATTCAATTTATCCTTTGTGTGGGAGCACTTGGTAGGATCATGTGGTCAGCCTCCCCGTAGTCAGCTATCCCTGGCAGGATGCCGGCTACAACCATTATGCCACTGTTTTTGGGGATCCCTGCCATCAGCTTGCTGTCTGGTGGATCATCACTGTCACCATTCGCTTTTTGCTTTTTATCATCTGTGTCAGAGTTGGCTTCTGTTGTACTTTTCCTTTTAATTGTACCCTGCAATAATAGCTTTTGTGAATTTGACTTTGTGATGGAACTTGATGATTTGTTGCTGTCTGGAGATCTTTCTTTTTTCTCATTTACCTTTACTACATTAGCATTTTTCATTTCTTCAATAACAGACTTCTCTTCCATGTTCCGATCCTTTTCTATCTGCACCTGCCTGTTGGACACATAGTTCAGGAACTGAACCTCGTCATCATCAAGACCTTTTACACAACTTCGTAATTTAGTCTCATCTTCAAGCTCTCTATCCTTCAGTTCTTTGTTAGCTTGTAACTGGTCAAAAAGTGACCTGGTCTCCTCCTCTGGACATTCTATAGGATCTTCTGGTTTTCTAACTCGTTCCCACTCAGCTTGACAAAGGCTGAAAGAGAAGGGTTGTGGGTAATGTTAGTACTTTAGAAGGATGGGGCGGGAGGGTCGTTTTGATTGATATAGTTTGTTGTTAGTGGTACCAAGGCATAAGAAATAACAGCTTAAGAATGATGTTGTTTAACTATATTTCTATAGTGTTATAAATTCTTGAATAAAGCTTTCAGTTATTAAATTTTCTGGAATTAGTCAAGGAGAATTTAGTATAACTAAATTAAATTTTTTTTACCATAGTTATTAAAGTAATCTTTAATTTGGAATGTGTAATGTTTTTGTTGGGGCAGAGTTGGCTATTGAATTGTATTTAATAAGCTGATCTGTTTAAACACATTTAGAGAAAAACTGTTGTATCATAGAAGTAAAAATAATAACCTCTAATAAAAAAAAAATAAAAAAATAAAAATAAAAAAAAATTTAATTTCTGCTTTCCATGTCAAAAGTCCACTTTCATAAATCATGTACAACACATCGAAAACTATTGCTTCCCGTCTATATATACAAACGGTTGTATAATATATATATAACTTATTTGAGTTTATAAACATGGTAATCGACAAATGATGAGGGTATATCTAATTCATCAGGTACACAAATGACGGTATATCCTTCTTCGTTCTTAATTTTAGTGTTGGAATAGATTCCTTTCAATACAATTAAGTATTACGTGACAGCTTGTTATGCACCGTATTTAAGCATGTTTTTTGTTTTTGGATTTACTTCCATAGCTTTTGTCCAACTAAGTACAAACTTCAAGGCAGTTTTTTTAATTTTGAAGCTGTCTCTCCTAGATGAATGGCTTTCCCCGGGGGCTTCGATCTCAGGACTTATCGGTACAGCAACCATGAGCTTAAACGACCCGACCACGCCAACCTCCAGATTATGTTTAATACGGAAAGGAAGCGTATGTTTAAGGTGGTGTCTAACATTACACACTAACACTACACTCTAATACTACACAGTAACAGAACACAGCAACATTACACAGTAATACAACATGGCAACATTACACAGTAACACAACACAGTAACACAACACACTAACACTACGCATTAACATTACACAGTTACTCAACACAGTAACACAACACAGCATCATTACACAGTAAAACAACACACTAACACTACACATTAACACAACACAGCATCATTACACAGTAACACAACACAGCATCATTACACAATAACACAACACAGCATCATTACACAGTAACACAACACAGCATCATTACACAGTAACACAACACAGCATCATTACACAGTAACACAACACAGCATTATTACACAGTAACACAACACCGCATCATTACACAGTAACACAACACAGCATCATTACACAGTAACACAACACAGCATCATTACCCAGTAACAACACACTAACGCAACACAGTTACATAAAACACTAAAACTAAGCATTAACAATACACAGTTACTCAACACAGTAAGCCTACACGCACATACAATGACAATTCTATGTTGCCATGCCTAATGATCTATTTCCTTCTGAGATTTTCACATTTGTAATTCGTTAACATACATCCTTCAATTTCCGGCTTTTGGTAAGGAGGTCAAAGTGGTCATGTGACTCACCTTGACCCATAGTTATCTCAGTTCCTCAATGTCACATAAATTTAAATTCGACCCACACCTCTGGCATGGAAACCTCCCCTGTACACCCCCCCACCCGATGAAACAAGAAATCGCCCCCACCCCTTCCATGAACCCCCCCCCCCCCACCCTCCCCACCAAAACACTCAGAATTTCTATTAAATCACGATCGCCCATCAAGACCATAGAGCCAAAAGATAACTTGTAAAATTCCATCTTTGATCCCGTATCTTCCATCCCCGGCCCCTGCCTTTTGTCTTGGCCTCATCCTTCCACATAAAAGCCGGCCATTAGCCGGCTAACCTTACAACCGGAACCGGCGTATGAGTCTGCATTTCCGGTGACGTGTTAATTATCACCAGTAGGAGTCGGGCCAGACACGATAGAGATGGACATATCGCGCGGGTAAGGCGTCTTTGAAGTTCATCTACGGGATACAATTTTCAAGCCAAGATGGCGAGACGCAATTTGCTAGTTTTCCGCTTGACCACAGGCCGGCTGGAACCCGAGATGCCGTGAATGGAACGGCTTTGACGAAGCGTGAAGAATATCTAAGATTTCTCCATAAATTGTAATGAAGTTCCCGGCCAGGACAAAGAATTACCGTCAGGTCGATTTCTGATTTCACCTGGGGCGGTAGAAAGTGAAAACCGTTGACAGTCCGGGCAACGGTTTTGTGGGCTCAGGTGACGGGCGAGCTGGTTGTCATGGTTACGAGAAACGTTTTTTTTTTTTTTAAAGAGACCTGAAGATCGTTTGATGTTATTTTGTAAAACAAGACACTATAAAAAACGGTGCGTGTTATGATGATGTGTTAGAACACCTGCAGTTTTTCTTAGGTTTAGTATCTTTGCATCCTTTGTCTAAAAACTAAAGCAGCTCCAATTTTAGCTTGAAGCACAAAAGACAAAACTTTCTATATCTTAAACTTGTGACGCCGTTGACGCACATACAGCTTACAAGTACTTCTACATACAAACAACCCACATACAAACAAGCTGTGTTGCCTTCCAACAAACACACATATATAAACCTACAATTCAATTAATACAGACTAAACTAATCAACTTCCATACACCAAACGCAAATAGAAATAAACAAACGATCCTATAAACACAGAACACATCTACCAACCAACATTATTAGCACATCAATCTCTGGATATGAGCGTCATGCCTTCCTCCGGGCGGGTTCCGAACTAGCTAGTTTCGAACTAACAGGCGGGTATAAAATAAATAACTGTAGACACATAAACGCCAGCTAAGATGTAAAAACTAAACAGTTTTCATTGTTAGCAACTTCAATTTACTCGAACATTATTTTGATAATTAGAATTAATTCCATAAGAAAAAAATAAATATTAGACTCACACATAATAATGATCATAAAATGAGGAAAATTACAACAGTATAAATAGAAAAATACAATTCTGGTTTAATTTTTTTTTATTTTAGACATTGGTTTATTCAGACTTTGGTGCAATGAACCGTAAAATCACCGAGCCGTGAAGCCCATAGGTTACAGTATACATGCAGGAACACCAGGTGTGCTGCACGTGCAAGCAAGACCGTCACTGAAGGCGTAATGGCCGCCTATTGGAATCTTGACACCGTTCAATTCGCAGCCATTATATGGTGCTTGTGTGGTTGTGGGTTCTGGATAGAGCACAACAGCATTTAGCACTTTTAGAACGATTATATATATATATATATATATATATATATATATATATATATATATATATATATATATATATATATATATATATATATATATATATATGTATATATATATATATATATATATATATATATATATATGTATATATATATATATATATATATATATATATATATATATATATATATATATATATATATATATATATATATATATATATATATATATATATAAATATATGTTTGTGTGTTTGTGTGTGTGTGTAAATACACATTGTGGGAAATGATTTGATTTGTAGTATATTTTCGCACGCAGAAAGTACAGTTGAAAGTGTTTGCAGATATTATCAGAAGACAATAACTCGGTAGATACACTCTGCTTGGAATGACCTTCACCTCTCACCTGTCTTCTGTACGGGTTCTTGAGCCGATCCTGGCGTACTCACGACATCCTGGGGAAGGTGATAGATGCGTGTTCAAACATAAACTGACACAACAGGGGAGGGGGAGGTAGATGTGGTGTTAGATACACATGGGGAGATGGGTGAGACATCAGGGGGGTAGATGTGGTGTTAGATACACATGGGGAGATGGGTGAGACATCAGGGGGGGGGGGGGGTAGATGTGGTGTTGGCGTAAAAAAATTTGGGTGTTGGTGACAGAAGAGGAGATGGGTGACACAAGGGGAGGTGGGTGACACATGGGGAGGTGGGTGACACAAGGGGAGGTGGGTGACACAAGGGGAGGTGGGTGACACAAGGGGAGGTGGGTGACACAAGGGGAGGTGGGTGACACATGGGGAGGGGTGACACAAGGGGAGGTGGGTGACACAAGGGGAGGTGGGTGACACATGGGGAGGGGTGACACAAGGGGAGGTGGGTGACACAAGGGGAGGTGGGTGACACAAGGGGAGGTGGGTGACACATGGGGAGGGGTGACACAAGGGGAGGTGGGTGACACATGGGGAGGTGGGTGACACAAGGGGAGGTGGGTGACACAAGGGGAGGTGGGTGACACATGGGGAGGGGTGACACAAGGGGAGGTGGGTGACACAAGGGGAGGTGGGTGACACAAGGGGAGGTGGGTGACACAAGGGGAGGTGGGTGACACATGGGGAGGGGTGACACAAGGGGAGGTGGGTGACACAAGGGGAGGTGGGTGACACAAGGGGAGGTGGGTGACACATGGGGAGGGGTGACACAAGGGGAGGTGGGTGACACAAGGGGAGGTGGGTGACACAAGGGGAGATGGGTGACACAAGGGGAGATGGGTGACACAAGGGGAGGTGGGTGACACAAGGGGAGGTGGGTGACACAAGGGGAGGTGGGTGACACATGGGGAGGGGTGACACATGGGGAGGGGTGACACAAGGGAGATGGGTGACACAAGGGGAGGTGGGTGACACATGGGGAGGGGTGACACAAGGGGAGGTGGGTGACACAAGGGGAGGTGGGTGACACAAGGGGAGGTGGGTGACACATGGGGAGGGGTGACACAAGGGGAGGTGGGTGACACAAGGGGAGGTGGGTGACACAAGGGGAGGTGGGTGACACAAGGGGAGATGGGTGACACAAGGGGAGGTGGGTGACACAAGGGGAGGTGGGTGACACAAGGGGAGGTGGGTGACACATGGGGAGGGGTGACACAAGGGGAGGTGGGTGACACAAGGGGAGGTGGGTGACACAAGGGGAGGTGGGTGACACATGGGGAGGGGTGACACAAGGGGAGGTGGGTGACACAAGGGGAGATGGGTAACACAACAGCGAGGTACATAGTGGTGTTAGATACACATGGAGAATGTAAAGTATTCGAAATGGTTGGGCGTAAAAAATTGTGGGTGTTGGGTTACACAAGGGGAGATGGGTGACACAAGGGGAGGTGGGTGAGACAAGGTGAGGTGGGTGACACAAGGGGAGGTGGGTGACACAAGGGGAGCTGGGTGACACAAGGGGAGGTGGGTGACACAAGGGGAGGTGGGTGACACAAGGGGAGGTGGGTGAGACACGGGGATGTGGGTGACACAAGGGGAGGTGGGTGACACAAGGGGAGGTGGGTGACACAAGGGGAGGTGGGTGACACAAGGGGAGGTGGGTGAAACAAAGGGAGATGGGTGACACAAGGGGAGGTTGGTGACACAAGGGGAGGTGGGTGACACAAGGGGAGGTGGGTGACACAAGGTGAGATGGGTGACACAAGGGGAGAAGGGTGAGACAAGGTGAGGTGGGTGACACAAGGTGAGATGGGTGACACAAGGGGAGAAGGGTGACACAAGGGGAGGTGGGTGACACAAGGTGAGATGGGTGACACAAGGGGAGGTGGGTGACACAAGGAGAGGTGGGTGACACAAGGGGAGATGGGTGAGACAAGGAGAGGTGGGTGAGACAAGGGGAGGTGGGTGAGACAATGGGAGGTGGGTGACACAAGGGGAGGTGGGTGACACAAGGAGAGGTGGGTGAGACAATGAGAGGTGGGTGAGACAAGGGGAGGTGGGTGAGACAAGGGGAGGTGGGTGACACAAGGGGAGGTGGGTGACACAAGGAGAGGTGGGTGAGACAATGAG